GAGAGAGAGAGAGAGAGAGAGAGAGAGAGAGACAGAGAGTGGGAGAGAGAGAGAGAGAGAGAGAGAGAGAGAGAGAGAGAGAGAGAGAGAGAGAGAGAGAGAGAGACAATAGTTCAACGGCGAGTCAATTCGCAGTTATCGAGGTTGATGTTAGGTCAAGATCTGTTTGGTGACTGACCACCTTTAAGAAATGACAGACCACCTTCAAGAAGTGTCAACCTTCATGAAGTGCCAAATAGTCGGCGGTGAGAGGACTCTTGTGCTAAAAACATTCTTAGGGGACCTTGCGGTCGTGTTCAGAACATATTGGCGTAGCACTATAAGCTCACCAAGCAGTTCTCGATGCCGGTTATTTCACATCATAAGACGCGTTATAAGCAAGCAGCAGCTGCTTGCAGGACCTTCTACCCGGTATGGATCTTTGAGGGCAGAGTTTCGCACTCCACCGTGAGATCCACATCGGATAGGTGGACCTGCCATCCTACCGCTCTTAGCTGTAGTCATCTTGAGGGAGTCGATGAGGTGAGGACCCGGCAAAAAAAACTGTTAGGGGACTTTGCTGCCGTGTTTTTGGAACTTATTGGCGTAGCACTAGATGCTCACCAAGCAGTTCTGTATGTCAGTTATATCGACACATCATAAGATGCCTTACAAGCAAGCAGCGGCTGCTTGCAGGACCTTCTACCAGGTGTGGATCTTTGAGAGCAGAGTTTCGCACTCCACCGTGAGATCCACATCGGATAGATGGACCTGCCATCCTACCGCTGTCAGCTGTAGTCATCTTGAGGAAGTCGACGAGGTGAGGACCCGACAAAGAACACTGCTAGGGGACTTTGCTATCGTGTTTGGAACATATTGGCGTAGCACTAGATGCTCACTAAGCAGTTTTGGATGTCGGTCATATCGATACATAATAAGATGCCTTACAAGCAAGTAGCGGCTGCTTGCAGGACCTTCTACCCGTTGTGGATCTTTGAGAGTAGAGTTCCGCACTTCACCGTGAGATCCACATCGGATAGGCGGACCTGCTATCCTACCACTGTTAACTGTAGTCATCTTGAGAATCGATGAGGTGAGGACTCGGCAAAGAACATTCTTAGGGAGCTTTGTTGCCGTGTTTGGAACTTATTGGCGTAGCACTAGATGCTCACCAAACAGTTATGGATGTCGGTTATATCGACACATCATATGATGCCTTACAAGCAAACTGTGGTCGGATCCCGTCCCCCACCCCGGCGCGGATCTATGAGAGCAGATTTGACGCAATCCACCGTTAGATCTACATCGGAGAGGCGGAGCGGTCATCCTACCGCTGTTCAGTGTAGTCATCATGTGGGAGTCGACATCGCAAGAACCTGACGATGTTCCAATTGGGACGTGCTCTTGTTTCGTGATGTGCAGGTGCTTACCAGCGGTGCTTTCGATCCCCTCCTCCACGTGAAGCAAAGTGCGAGGTAATTGCTCAGGGCTCACACCAGAAGTGCGATTGAACTCGCACTTTGATGGAGAAGCAGTTGCGCAGTCCATCAGCGTGACGATTTAATATGGACATTGGCTTGTCATTTGTATATTCCAGGTTGAAAACGCCATCAAATCTTTCTGTGTAGAAGATTCATATCCATTCATACAAGTATCTCTTGTCATCGCAAACATCGAGATAAAAACATCTCAAGTCAAATTGCAAAACACACAGAGACATCGCAAACATTGAGGTGAAAACATCTCAAGTTGCCTAGTGTTTTTCCGAAGGTGAACTCTCACAGCACACGAACAGTTTTCAGAAACCATTCAATGCAAAAAATTCATTCAATGGCAAATTGCAAAGCACACAGAGACATATCAAAAAATCATTGAACGCAAAATATCATACAATCCCACATTACAAAGTACACGGAGGCTTTCCAAAAATCACAAAGTACATGGAGCCAAAGTACAAATATATTCGCATTTCTCATACGGAAACAATAGTTCAATCACAAATGCCCGACATCCGAAGTGCTAATATGTTCGCATTTCTCATACGGAAACAACAACCAACATTCTGTGGAGAGCACGAGATGTACTCCGGGGATAACAAAATCGGTAATCATTCAGTGCACCGCTGAATCCGTAAAACAACTTCAAGCACGCATACATTCTGGCGACAATTGGTTTCCGAATGGAGAACAAGTTCGCAACTATCATAAGGAACCAACAGACAGCATTCAATGGAGACAAGCAGAGGGGGTGAACCGTAAAATGGGGCGACACACACAGAACAAGGGCGAGTCAAAACATATGAAAGCTGGATGGTCGGGGTGGGGCGGGGGAGAGGGGTTTTCTCACCACAAAGTCTCGCGAACAAAAGAGATAAGAACGAAACAATTTGGCGACCAAGAATCAATCGTCGATATCTTTCACTAAGAGCATGAGTGTAAAATGTCTACAAGAGGACGAAGACGTCATATGAGTAACAGAGCAACACAACCTCAAAACGAACAAACACAGCAGGGCACGGCAAACGCAGCACGGTGCTACCGTGGTCTAAGAGTACCGTGGTCTAAGAGGACATAAGGAGAAAAACCCGAAACTAAACAAAGAGAGCACAAAGTCGGGATATTCATATCTCATATGTAAGCGTCTACTTAAAAGATATTGCACCACGTGGCTGGGATATTTACATCGGCATCTAAGATTCTACTTCTTGTAATCGTCCGCTGCAACCCTCTAGCTGATGTTGCGAGGCAAGCAATAAGAACAACCCGAAAACAAACAAAGGCAGCACGGCGCTGTCGAAAGGCGTACGAGTAAAGATGACAGGTTCCTCGAAATGAAGAACCCTTAAAAAATTGCTACAGCACGAGGCTGGGATATTCACATCGACACCTAAGCGTTTACTTGACCAAAACGTCCACTGCAATCCGGTACCTCATCAAAAAAACAGCACAGCTCGAACCGGCCGACTGGTAGATCAAATGGGAATAGATTCGCACTTCTGCTTATGACATTTCAAAAAAAAAACTACCCGTATTTTAACAACAGTGGTATCATTCCGAACCTTGGAGTATGTCCACCGCAATCCTTAGCCGGATATTTGGAATGTCGCTTTGGGCTATCCAAAATGGTGGCGGACAGCCGCGTGCAAGAAATGAAGCGAAGGCGAGCATGAAAACACCACAGCTCGACCCGTCCGACTATTGAGGGACACCACGAACAACCACCTTGGGCTCCTGGAGATCCACTTTCGTTTTTTGACCATAATGACAAACTGCTTCGTCACGGAGGTATTGCGTGAAGTTCGCAATCACATCGGAAGAAAAACCACCATCGTCTTGTACGAGGGAGTCGTAGTACTCCAGCTGTTGTACTCGGAGACACAATAGGGTCCAATGCACTCCATATTTATGGACAGGAATCAAGACCATCTCGTACGTGAAAATATCAACATCTTTTGTCCATCTCGCAACCCTATCATGTCGATAGCCGCCACGAACGAGCTTGGTATAGAAAAAGGGACTGAAAATGTGAAGAGAGGGACACCCAGGCAACGCAGTGTTGGCAAGCAAGGCCAAGTACGACTCCACCACCTCGTCGGAAAGTCATTCCCCTTGAACAAGAGTTTGAAGACTTTTTCTGCTCAACGGAATAGAACCGACCACTTTGCGAACCGAGGATACCACCTCGTGGCCATTGCTGAAATCTCCGCAGACGTTCCGCAACATTCTCAAGTCCGTAGCGCTAAGCTCCTCAGTAGGCAACGAAACGCGAAAACATGATGTAGCCCCAACTGCAAAACACCCACGAACAAGTGTGAGGAGTGATCAAAATCACTGGGGCGAAATGGCTAAGAACCGTCTGCCCTTTTCCCAGAAAAGTTGTATCCCCGACTGTTGAATGTGTCCTTGGCGATGTACTTAGGACACCGGTCTTTCAAGACACCCCATTTGGCATCGTCATCAGACCCATCAGACAAAGCAGTAACGCTTTCAATAGACGCAGCCAAATGTTTCCGCAAACCTTCCTCCTTATTTATTCCACAAGCCTTCAGAACCCTGACAGCTCTCTGGGAAAGGCGAGGCATCTCGACTCTTTTAAACAACCTCACACCTTACGACTTCTTCGGTAAAGCGGCTAATGACCTCCATGAAAGACATTTCTCGCTCACGACTTTTACAGGCTTCATGGGCAGGGACATTGACAAACTCACACCTGTAGAACATAGAAAACAACCCACAACCCACAAACGTTTTTTTTAACAAGTGGTAAAAGGTACATGAGCCCATCACAGCAATTTGGACGAACACAGAGCTGGCGAGTGACAAATATGCGAGTGCTCCTATTCACAAATCTTTCCGTGCTCGGGAGCCCTTTGAGGGAACTGGCCCTCCTGCCGCGCCACTACGCCAACGTCCACGGACGATTCGAGGTTTTGGACCTCGGCCACGGCTGTGTGGCTAACAATCTCGGAGGCAGCTGAGTCGCTAGGCAAGTCGATGGCTTCATGAAGCACCATTTCCCGACTGGTACTGAGGTCAGACGCTCGATCACCTTGTTCTGCACTGCAATGGGTGGACAGAGAATCATGATCTTTGCGCTCTGGATCCATCTTGATGCTGACGGCCACCTCACCGCCTTCCAAGGAGGATTCGGCGTTCTGCATCTCGGCCACGCCTGAGTCGCTAACCAACTCGGTGGCAGCCGAGTCGTCACCCAACTCTATGGCTTCATGAAGCACCATTCGCCGAGCGGTGCTTAGGACAGAAGCTCGACCACCCTGTTCTTCACCGCAACGGGCGGGCGAAGAATCATCATCTTTCCGCTGTGGATCCGTCTGGATATCGACAGTCACCTCACTGCCTTCCACCACGGGTTCTCCGCCTTTCTCATCGCCATGAACCCGAATTTCCACCGCGGGTTCTTCTTCGCCTTCATCGTCACCAAGAACGGGAGCTTGCACGAACGTCCACTGACCTCTCTTAACGACACCCTCTCACGCCGTGGCCATAGCCGAACGACTGTGCAGAACCTCTTCCGACGTCTCGATCACCAGCGCTTGTGCGTCAAGCCCCTTCACGTCTTCGCGATCCGCCCAGTGTCGAGTCTCCTCTCCCTGTTGTAGAGCATGCGTTTCCCCCGGAGCTCCTGCACTCTCGCTGTTAGTGTCCACGGATGCACCGTTTGAAGCATGACATTCACTCTCGCTACCCCCGGTCTCCAACACTTTGCGAGACTGCCAGCGTTGAGTCTCCTCTTCCCAATGTACAACATGCATTCCCGGAGAGCGCTCCTCTTCCCCAGGAGCCGCTGCACTCTTGCTGTCACTGTCCACTAGCACACCCTCCGAAGTATGATGTTCGTACTCCCCACCCCCGGTCTCCCACACTCCTGCAGCGGGCCCCTCCAGCACGTCGCGAGACCGCCAGTCTCGAGTCTCAACACATAAGAACGGAGGCGAGTAGGGGAACCCTGTGTCCAACTGAAGATGCGGGGGGCAGGACGCCACATTTTCTTGACCTCGCGGAACTGTTGCGTGAGGAGCACTTATGGCGGAGGGCAATGTCAGCAACTCTGAATGTATTCGGAGTTTATGGCGGTCGCCCGAGCCGGGGGAATCGAAGGTCGCACCTTCGGTCCTTCGCAATGCAGGCATCCCGCCCTCCACGCAAAACGAAGACGCGCCCTCTTTCAGGAGCAAGGTGTTGAGCACAGGAGACCTCTGCTGCGCATGAGGGGATAGACTCTCATCGGCAACGGGAAGCAAAGTCCTCGCAGACAAGTGCGAATCTACTCGCACTTGATCAAACCTCAGGGTGGCCTCATCTCGCATGTCGGAATCTCGACTCCCTACGCAGTGGGGGTCAGTTTCCATATATTGCGGACTCCCGGACGTTCTACGCTTTCCGCCCGACCCCTTCCCGCTCGACCCCTTCCCGCCCGACCCCTTTCCGCCCGACCCCTTTCCGCCAGACTCCTTTCCGCCGGACCCCTTTCCGGTGGACGCCTTCTCTCTCGACGATGTCTCGCCCGTCCCCTTTCTGGCAAACTGTGAGCCGTCTCCTCCGCCACCTCCGCCGTCTCCTTCGTCTCCTCCTCCAGTGCCTCCCGAATGCTGACCGCCCGACGGAGGTTGCAGCATGCGCTAGTCAATGCCACGAGACGGTGCCGTTTCGAGTGTGTAGAAAGGCGCTCGAAACTCCAACATTTTTTTGGCGTACAACTCATTTAGCTTTTCTTCTGCATACGCAGCGACTTCCGGATCCCTCCTTCCGGGGTTCATAAGACTCAAATCCTCCACCAAAGCTTTTCTCGCCGTTCTCTTAAATGCACCCGCTCCCAGTCTCTTCATTCCACTCCACTTGCCATCGGCCTCTTTCATTGCCATGACCCACATTCCATTCTTCACAGCGGGTTGGAATATCCTCGGGTGCCAGACGACGTTGTGTCCCGAGACATCGTCCGACGTGAACCGGTGATGCTTGCCGAAGAAGTAGAGTCTATCATTCTGCCAGGTGTCATGGTCCTCAGGGAGCCTGTCACAAGGTTCGTGATCATAGTCTCTCTGTTCCTCCTCGTCATCCGACGATTGGTCGTCGACTGGTTCGCCCCAAAACATACGCTTCAAACCAGCAGGGGACGTGCTGTATCTCCGAGGACCACCTTCCCCTTCATCACCAACTTGTCCGACCAGCGGAGGAAGTGGCATGGACTCGAAATCGAAGGTTTCGGAGTCGCTCAGCTCCTCCATGTCTTCAGCGTCGAAAGGGTCCTCCTCGTCAAACTATGCCTTGTAGTTTTCGAGGATGAGCGGTTCGGCCATCACAAAGTAAACGTGATCCAGCCTTCTCAGGAAATGCGATACAGACTCCCCTGGGTGCATCGTGGTACCCATTGAGTACACCGAACACTAGGTCGGTCGGACCAGGCGGTCCGGGTTGGAAAAGGAAGTCCCAAACCTCCGTCCTTTTATTCCCCGGCAATTTCCAATACATGTCACGTTTGGGATCCCAGTTTCGTTCACCGGTGGTCCGGACAAAAGTGCAATCATTGCGAGTGTCCGCCACGCGTGTCTTCACGAACTCGTGAAGGTAATCGATCATCTTTGCGTCGTTCTCCAACGCGACGACGTTCCGACCGGTGCGCAAGAGTTCCCACACGACAGACGCATGCGCCTTCCCTTCAACAAAGACACCGACAAAGACTGCCCTTCGAGAGATAAAAAACGCCCCTCCAAAGGCAAAGACAACAAGGAGGATAAGGGGAAGGAGGAGAAGGAGAAGGAGCAAGAAGGGAAGAAGGGGAAAGAGAAGGGGAAAGAGAAGGAAAAAGAGAAGGAAAATGGGAAAGGGAAGGAGAGGGAGAAGGAAAAAGGAAAGGGAAAGGGTAGCAGTGATGAAGAGGCGGTTAAGGTAAGGGGAAAAGGGGAAAAGGAAAAGGATGGGAAGGAAGTGGACAAGGGGGATAAGATACAGGAAAAGGAAAAGGAAAAGGAAAAGGAAGAAGAAGGGAGGGCCTCAGAGGATAAGGTGATGAATGAGAATGAGAAAAATGCTGATGGGGATGGGAGGGGGAAAAAGGAGGCCTTGGGGAAGTTGAGGGGGCGCAAAGATACAAAGGGCAGGAAAAAAAACTTATGAAAAGAAAAGCGCCGTATGACAGAAGGGAAGAAAGATACTCCCCCCCCCCCCCCGGGGGGGAAAGAGGAGTAGAGGAAGAAGAAAAAGGGGAGAATATAGAGAAGTTATCGAAGACACAGATGGAAGTGGAGGCAGTACAGGTTAAATTGAAAAACAATTTGTCCCAGGTGCAACTGATTGATAATAAGGCCAAGGTCCCAATACAAGAGGACAACGTTGTTGCTGCTGCTGCTGCAGAGTTATTGGCTAAAGCAGCTGAAGCCTTTGCCGCTGCTGCAGCAAGTGCTGCTCCCAATCCATCTAACATGTCCAAAATCCGAACAGGGAAGCTAAAATTCCCTAATTCGGACGTTCCCCCTCTGGACTCCTCCACCCCATATGTGTTCGGAGACCCTCAGAAAAGGACAAATGGGAACAAGAACCAAAAAGTTCAACATTCCCTAGTTCTTGACCAACCTCCGATGTCACCCCCCTCGGGGAGTGTAGCTCTCACTGTCGATGGCACAGTCCAAGACTCAGCAATTTGTGTGATGGGGGAAAACGCTCCCCGCCTTTCAAAAAAATCGGAAGAACTAGTGGATGATCAGGGGTCGGGCCAGGACATGCTGGAATTCATAGTCCCTGGACTGTTCCAAGAAGGAATAGTCTACTTCGATCAAGCAGTAGATTCAGGGAGAGTTTTTTTGCTCAACCCGAACAAAAGAGCTAAATCTAACGACAACATCCCCATTCCGACGATGGAAGAACAAGCGATGGGCGACGCCAGTGAGATGCCCACAATCTTAGCTGGCCCAGTCAAAAAAAGAAAACCCTCCACAAGGACAGCTAAAAAAACGCTAATTCAGGCCTCCCCTATGTCTACTTTGGGTAAAGGGGACAAATCAGCAGGTCCTAACTTGAAAATCTTTCCGCTGATTTGTTCAGATACCCCCCAAGGTCTAATGGTCCTTACCATGATAGCCCTGGATGAGTCCTTATCCCTTCCTTCTATCACTGTTCAGTCTGCTTTGTCGGACGAACTCCTCATCAAAATGGCATCAGAGCAAGTACTGTTCAGCCAAGGATCCTGTTTACTCCTGCAGGAGCCAAGGATGGGGAGGTACTTAGTGGTGCTGCCAGACAACAGCAAGGTGTTAGTGCACATAGCGTTTTTTAGCCTCACCTGACTGTCTGATGGGTATGTTAGCTGGACAGAATGAAAAACTCAATGGCACCCCCTGATGGACTCTTTGGAGAAAATCCGGGTGGGGTCAAAGTTATCTGCCCTGGTCATTGCAGGCTGGATATCCAGTGTCGAGGCCACGGACATACTTATAAGTGACAAATTTTCGAGCACGGTCCGGGTAGCTGGCCAGCTGCGTTCCGAGCTCCAAGCTTATATCCGCATGCAACACCCTGACGACGATGTCCTAACTCATGGTGCTGCCCAGCAGGGTGAGACTAGTGAGTTGGAATGTCAAAGGTCTCGGGGATACATCTGGCAGACAGAAGAAATCACAGCTTTCTGCGTGGTTTTATTCTCAACATGCACAGATAATATGCTTATAGAAAACTAAATTGCATCTGGATAAGATTCAGGAGGTTCGGAACTGGTGGCCGGGGCAGCAGATTTGGGCCCCAGCAGACGGTTCAAAGGGCGGTGTTGCAATCTTGTTACACAAGGACCTGGATTGCATCATACTAGATTCATATGCAGACCCGGATGGTCGCTTTGCCTGGGTGAAAATTGAAATGGGGATGGAACACTGGGGAGTCATGTCTTTATATGCTCCTTCAGATTATATTGCTAGAACTGAATTTTTTTCTAATTTGTCTGCCTGTTTCCCGGACACGGAGAACTTAGTAATTCTCGGTGACTGGAACACCACCTTGAACCGGGGTTTGGATTCTCCCGACCCCTTCCCATGACCATCAGATAGCACACTACTGATGACACTGTTTGAGACCCAAGGCCTCACAGACACCTACCGAATTATGAATCCGGAGGACCATGGTTTCACATGGTACGGTCCCAAGCCGAAACCCAACCTGTCACAACCCCGTAGAAGATTAGACCTCATTGTTTCTCGCGGGGTTTTGTGAGAGCGTTGCATCCATGCTGATTATTGTGTTTCTGATATCTCTCACCACTACCCAGTTTACATAGATGTGGTCTCTAGTGACTTGGTTCAGACCTCCTGTCCCCCTTTCCGGTTAAACACTAGCATTTTGAAAGACCAAGGTATCCCGCAATGGATCGTCTCTCAAATGAAGGGGTGGCTGGAGGCTAAGGACCTTTTCGACTCAGAGGACCACTGGGCCGATGTGGGTGTGGCTATCATAAGGGAAGCACTTATAGTGTTCTCTCGTATGAAAGCTGCCAACAGGGTGTGGAAAGAGCAAAAGCTCATTAGGCTAGTGGAGGAAGCAGAGACAAATCTGGCCAGGATCAGTTTGGAGACTTATTTTGGACTGATAAAAGACTCTCTGCTCTCGCCTCCCTAGAAGCTCTAGAGATACAAAAGCAAACACAGTGGTTGGAATAGCTCGAACTACGAGGCATTGTAGGCCACGATAGAATGACTACATTAACTTTTAGATCTTTAATTTTAAGACAGACTAAACCGGTAATTAGAAAACTTGTCCACCCTTTCGATCTGAGAAGCCATGCTGCAGTAGACGCTATGGACCTATGTACTTTTGCGAGAGACTACTTCCAGGATATAGTATCTACCCGCAAACCTTTTGACAGCTTCGATACAGATCTATCATTATACTCAGACTTCTGGTCCAGGACAAAAGTCAGTATCTGCATGCAGACCAAGGAGGCAATGGATGCCCCTTTTACGAAAATAAAACTTCACGAAGCGGTGAAACATATGGCGAAGGGCAAATGCCCTTGCATCGATGGCCTCCCAGTTGAGCTCTTTCTCAGTACATTGGTCGCTTTCGCTCCTTTCCTGTGCCAAATTTGTAATAAAGCCTTGCACATTGACGCCCTTCCGAAGACCTTCGTAAGAGGTTTTATAGCGCTCCTCTATAAAAAAAAAACATAAAAAGGAAATCCGCAACTACCGGCCAATATCAGTTCTCAATGTTGTTTATAAGATATTGGCGAAAGCCATTGCTATGCGTTTGACCTCTGTTCTCCCCCAGTTGGTAGGGTGGGAACAAGGGGCTTTCGTCAGATGCCGATCTTTTTTCGAGAATATCCTTACTGCAATACAGACCTTGGAAGTGATTGGCGCAGAAAAGCAGGATGTAGCAATCCTCCTCCTAGATATGGAGAAAACGTACGATAAAATAGGGTGGGCCTTTGTTTCTATCACCCTCGCTAAGATGGATTTCGGACCTGGTTTCGCCAACTGGGTGCATGCGATGTATGCAAATGTTGTCTCTCAAGTGATGGTCAATGGGCATCTTTCTGAGGAATTTTCCCCTACCCGTTCGTTACGGCAGGGGTGTGCCCTTGCCCCATTATTATTTGTGTTGCAATTAAAAGTTCTTTTGGACAATATTAGATTTAATGACCAGATAGTAGGACTTAGACTTAACCCCTCCCTTGAGTGGAAAGGGGGAGCTCTCGCATATGACCTTACAGTCGCCTGCGAAAACTCCCCCGCATCCCT